AGTGGAATGGTACGACCGGTGGTATAACCAATTTGTGTCGGTTCATGCCGGTCAAAAAAATGTGAAAATAATTAATATCCAATGTATTTAATCATATATAAAACATATTTGTGAAGAATTTAGTTACAATCCAACAAATATCATCAACTTTTAACTATTACATTCATAAAATGAATAATAAATTATTTTTTTTATTCATTAAATTCATTAAAATGATTTTATTTTATTTAGAATGTGTAAGTCGATCATACCTGTCATACCGATGGTGTCATACCGGTTTCATGACCAACAAAGGTTGAACCAGGTTCAACCGGGTGGCATGCCACCAGCATGACAACTGTCAGGTCTCGGTACTTCATATCTAATTAATGGAATGGACAATGGAATTTCAAAGAGAACTAAATAGGCTCCAGTTTCCAATGTCAACGTTGGATACATCAATAGAATTGGAAGTCAAAATGTTAATTACTTTTGTTTTTATCATTCAATGTTACATTCAATTATCAATTTATCATCCACCAAATCGCTAGCCAAGTTTGAATACATAGCGGCCGGAAATAAATAACCACCGTAGTGATGGGATATTAGATTTGTGGTATCATTCATGACTCATGAGATACAAATGTTTACTCGAATTTAAATCTGAATTGTCATCTATGCTGATATAGGAGATTTTTCCAGAAATAGCACTGTTTTAAAAAAAAATTCCAAAAATAGCACCCAACTCCGAAAAATTCCAAAAATAGCACCATTTTTGTAAAACCGCAACCCGGAGGTGCGTTTTTCGATGAAAACGCCACCCGAGGGCGCGTTTTTCTATGCAAACCGCACTGGTAGGGAGCGGTTTTGCAAACCGCACCCCCAGGGTGCGATCTGTCTTTTTTTTTTTTTTTTTTTTGCAAACCGCACCCCCAGGGTACGATCTGCTTTTTTTTTTTTTTTTTTTGAAAAATCCTAACTTAGGTGGAAACTTCAAACGAACGTATCTTTATGTTCGGGTATCCGATCGTCGCGATTTTTTTTTTGATTCCGCATAATTTTTCGAGATCTTGCAAACCGCAAAATGCCGAAGGCGGTTTGGTCCCGCCTTCGTCCCGAAAAAACGTCGTTTGCTACCCCGAACGAGCCTTTTTTCGATTTCGTCAAACTTTGAACGACCATAACTTTGTGCTCCACAATCCGAAAATCATGAACTTTTTTTTGATTTTGCATAACTTTTTGAGGACTACAATTTTTTCTAGGAGAGAATTTTCAAAAAATGAATTATTTTGGATATACGGGGTTTTGGGAATAAGTTTACCTTTCTTTTTAGGAATCCAAGTACATTCCGAAATTATGTCTATGATAAAAAATTTAGTCCTCAAAAAGTTATGCAAAATCAAAAAAAAAATCATGATTTTCGGATTGTGGAGCACAAAGTTATGGTCGTTCAAAGTTTGACGAAATCGAAAAAATGCTCGTTCGGGGTAGCAAATGACATTTTTTGGTTCGAAGGCGAGACCAAACCACCTTTGGCAGTCTTCGACTTGAAAGATCTCAAAAAGTTATGCGGAATCAAAAAAAAAAATCGCGGCGATCGGATACCCGAACATAAAGATACGTTTTTTTGAAGTTTCCACCTAAGTTAGGATTTTTCAAAAAAAAAAAAAAAAAAACAGATTGCACCCTGGGGGTGCGGTTTGCAAAAAAAAAAAAAAAAAAAAGGCAGATCGCACCCTGGGGGTGCGGTTTGCAAAATCGCTCCCTACCAGTGCGGTTTTCATCGAAAAACGCGCCCTCGGGTGGCGTTTTCATCGAAAAACGCACCTCCGGGTTGCGGTTTAAAAAAAATGGTGCTATTTTTGGAATTTTTCGGAGTTGGGTGCTATTTTTGGAATTTTTTTTTTAAACAGTGCTATTTCTGGAAAAATCTCCTGATATAGTGTACTCGTATTCTTTCTGCCCTAGTTTGTAAGAATGACCCACTTAATATCCAACTCTTCTTCATGGTTTGCTGCATTTTAAGTAGGTGCCTCGCGCATAATCCTTAACGCTGTTGCATGTTGTTTAATTTCTGGTCAAGAAATTTTAGTGTTTGATATTAAGGATTTGTACTTTTGATTTCTTAGAACAACAACTAATAACATGCTCACTTTTTTAAACAATGTTTGAATGTGAGTGTTTGATACTTTTAATGGCTTAGGGACAAACTAAGTTAAGTTACTCTACTCATATGGAGGTTCAGTGAGAGCTCCAAGAACAACTAGCTACAACTATGGTTACATTGTAGAGAAAGAATAAAGTTTGACATGCAGTGTCAAGTGTTTGGTTGTGGAACTCATTTCTAGTCTTCGTTTCTCCTGTTTATAGTCATCAGGTGTAAGTACCCCTGCAGAGAAAGAATAACGTTTTACATGTGAAGTTGGTATCTTGCCGTCTTGTCGACTTGGTACCCTACCACTCTTGCCATCAAACTTATCAACTTGACACCTTGTTGACCTGTCGGCTTGGTATCTTGTCATGTCGCCACCACGCCAATCATATAATCTTGATCTTCATACTTAGTAATTGAGAGATCGTCAAGTTCCACTTGACAACCTACTAGCCACCCTCTCACCTTGCTACCCAGCCACATTGATTTCTATACTTGGTTTTAGAGCCTCGTCAAGTTGGTACCTTGTCGTCCTACTTGCCTCGTACCCTGTCAACTAGCCACCTTTCACCCCAATCTCATCGGGTTGGTACCCTATAATGTGTCCCACCATGTCAACTTAATCTTCATACTTAGTTTTCGGAGGGTTTGGTATTTGATGCCTCATTGCATGTGGGCTTTGTACCCTGCTGTCTTGCTACCAAACCTCTCTTACCAACTTGATACCTTCTGGCTTGATGCATGTTGGCCTTACCAGACCATGTTGTCTTGCCAACTTGGTACCTGGTAGCAACCAACCTTATCTCATCGGTTTGGCACCCTGTTCCATACTTTCATACTTAGTGTTTTGGGAGGTAGGTAACTTGATACTATGTATGTTTTGTTGACTTGGTACCCTGTCGTCTTGCTACAAGCCATTAGGATTTCAAACTTAGATAAATTTCATATCCTGCTATCGAGCCTGTCTTCACTGCTTCGCATTCAGACTTAGTTTTTGGATGACTCTCTAGTTGGTACCTCGTTGTCATACCAAGCCTGTCTTGTTTCTAGACTTAGTTTGTAAAGCCACATTTCATACCAACGGGCATGTTACAAGGGATAAGAGAGCTCATCCACTTAGGCCCAAAATCCAAAGAATAAGACCCGACTATCTCATTTAATGTGTTAATGCTGAGTTTAGATTATAAAGTCTTGAATTCCTTTGTAATTATGTAATGTGGTATAAAGTAAATTTTTAGGTGTAAACAAATACTTATAGTAGGGGCGGCAATAATGTCCACTAGCATGGTTAACCGCCTGAACACGATTCTATTAATTAGGGTAAGAACTTAACTATATTAAATACATTATATTAAATACATTATGATATTGTTAAAATTCAAAGCTGAATTTACTAGACAATGGACGAGCATGATTTTTTCTGCTATCCAACCAGAACTCGCCTGACTATAGAGGCCTAAGTATATTTTTCTGTAAAACATAATTCTATCTCTCAAAATATTCGGCATTGTAATAAACATATAACATCCCAATGAATTCTTATTTTTTTATTATTTTCCTTAAGATTGATGACTTATAATTTTAATTCTTATTATACTCACAAATTGTAACACATTAGATTAACTTAATAAAAAAGCTATTATCCATGGATATCGCCGAATAACCAAAATTTGAACTGATATGGATACGATTTTGACTTCCTATCCGAATCTTGTATGGATATAAGTATGGATTGAACTCGAACCAGTTAAAATAGAATAATACATATACACTACCCATCCCCTAACCGACCCGTCGACATCCATAACATATCTTGATTGCCTCATTTACTGAACTCCTTATGAAAACATATAAAAAATAGTCTCTAAAATTTCAGAAATTGTTCAATACAAAACTTTAGAATCAATGTTTGTCTATATATATCAATACTAAACCAATAAATCATTAAAAAAAATTCATATTTGATAAATAAATACTAATAAATAACCGGCTTAAAAACAATGAAAAAGCCCAGCAATAAAAGCAAAAACACATATAGCCCAACTTAGGGATGGCAATGGGTCGGGTTGGGTCGGGTTTTGCCAAACCCAAACCCAAACCCATGGGTTTATCCGTGAAAAAAACCCGGGGTAAAACCCACTGGGTTTGAAAAACTCAAACCCAACCCAACCCGCTGGGTATCCGCGGGTTCATGGGCACCCACGGGTTTTTGTCGTAAAAAATTCACAATAACAAATTCCTATCAAAATTAAAGTCAAATATCAATCTCTCAATACAAATTATCCATATATAAAACACCATTCTAGAAAATTCAAGCAAATCACAAATTAACTACACAAATTGTTCAACACCAATCTAGAAAACTCAAGAAAATTGAAGCAAATCACAAATTATCCATAAATAACATGATTAATCGAAACTTCTTCCTTTCAATTAAGTTTTTCACTCTCCACTCAATAACATCAACTTCATTCTACATAACTAGAAAGAAAAAATTAGACATGTCTCCACAAACATAAATAAGATTAGTTGTTTAGAATATTAAATATGCCGAGAAAATTAATTATATGGGTGGGCGGGTACCCATGGGTCGGGTTTACCTAAACCCAAACCCAACCCGATGAATAGTGAACGGGTTTAAACCCAAACCCGGTCCAAAACTGGTCAACACGAATTTTACCCGCGTTGACCGGGTTGGGTCGGGTGGGTACCCGTGGGTTCGGGTTTTATTGCCATCCCTAGCCCAACTGCCCAACCCAACAAAATAGAATGTTGGAAGCCCAATGCCCATAGACCCAATCCAATGTGTCTCCCGTGACTCTATCCAAATCAGAAGCTCACCGGCACCTTTTACTCTCGAGTCTCGCCGTGACGACCATTTCCGTTTATTTATTTATTTATTTTATCTACACTCACGAATAACACCGCACTCCGCCGGCGGGGAAAAAGCAACACCCGATAGCGCCTCCAACGCTTCCAAAATTTCCGATCATTTTCCCATACAGATAAGATGTCTCTCTCATTCTCCTCCTTCCTTCCTCCAGTTCCTCCCACTTACCTCAGCCGCCGCACTCCTCCCGGAAACCTCCCAGCCTCCGTCCTCCGCCGCAATCTCATTCCCCCTTCCGCCGCCGCCTCAGCCCCGCCGTCTCCCCGGCGACACTGGAAGCAAGGAGAATTTCCAGGAACCACTTCAATCCCGGACACCGCCCGCCGCCGCGCCCCTGTCAAAACCATCAAGAAGACACTGGACCGCAGAGAAAACGCCAAGGCCTGGGCCAACACAGTTACCGAAGCCCTCTCCGACTCCATAGCCAACAAACAATGGCAGCGCGCCCTCGACGTCTTCGACATGCTCAAGCAACAGCCTTTCTACCAACCCAAAGAAGGCACATACATGAAGCTGCTCGTCCTCTTAGGCAAATCGCTACAGCCAGCTCTCGCCCACCAACTGTTCGACGAAATGCTCCAACAGGGCATCCCGCCCACCCCTGAACTCTACACCGCCCTCCTCGGTGCCTACTGCCGCAGCAACCTTATCGAACAAGCCTTCTCCATTCTCGACGAGATGAAATCGTCGCCGCATTGCCAGCCCGATGTCTTCACCTACAGCATGCTACTCAAGTCCTGCGTAGATTCATCCCGATTTGACCTCGTCGATCAAATCTACCACGACATGGACCAACGCCTCATTTCCCCCAACACCGTCACCCAAAACATCGTCCTGGGGGCCTATGGGAAAGCCGGTTTGTACGACCAAATGGAGAAAGTCCTATCTTCAATGCTCGTCAACCCGAATTCGAAACCCGACGTATGGACCATGAACATAATCCTCGCTGTGTTTGGCAACAAGGGTCACATCCAGCTGATGGAGAAGTGGTACGAGAAGTTCCGAGACTATGGCATCCAACCCGAGACTCGCACCTTCAACATCCTCATCGGAGCTTACGGTAAAGCCAGGAGGTAATACTTCGGGGAGTTATATGATCGTTATTGTATAACTTACTCTTTTACTGTTACCATGTAGAAATTTAGGGAATCGAATCATATCATTAATAATCATCCCATACGAATTGTTTATCCCTAATAGGTACGATAAGATGTCATCGGTGATGGAGTACATGCGGAAGATGGAGATCCCCTGGACTAGCTCGACATATAACAACGTGATCGAGGCGTTTGCAGATGTGGGTGATGCGAAGAACATGGAGTACACGTTTGATCAGATGCGTGCTGAACGGATGAAGGCGGATGCGAAGACATTTTCGTGTCTAGTCGAGGGTTATGCGAAGGCAGGCGTGTTTCATAAGGTGATTTCCGCGGTTCAGCTGGCAGCTAGGCTGGACGTGGCGAAGAACACAGCGTTCTACAATGCGGTGCTCTCTGCCTGTGGGAAAGCAGGGGATTTGCTGGAGATGGAGAGGGTTTATGAGAAGATGAAGGAGGAGAAGTGTGAAGCGGATGATAGGACTTACGAGGTGATGATTGAAGCGTATAGGAAAGAAGGGATGAATGATAAGGTGTATTATCTTGAGCAGGAGATGAAAGCCACTGGGAAAGGGTCGTCTGGGTAGTTCTGAACATGCATTGCTTCCAATAAGGATTCAGTTTCTGAACAATACAAGCAAGCAACATGCCATGCTTGCTGTGGCAGAATGATAGCTTAGTTGCTTGAGGTAGTAATTCACAAGCTAAAGTTCAAATCTTGGGGTGCAGTGCTGGGGAGAAGGTGGTACAGAGTAAAAAGCCAGATGATGCAGAACTCGAATCAACGGCATCCAGAGACCAAAAAAGAAGCAATGGATCGATGACATGCTCTCGCAAGCTTTGCTGGAAAAAAAAAAAAAGAGTTATGTCACACTTCACTGCAATCATCGTGTCGTGCGAGTGTCTTCCATAACTGTGTACCAAGTTAATCCAAGTCCAACTTTGGAGGATTCAACTATAGCTCATATGATGACGTCTATATACCTGACCTGTAATCTTTGAGGTTTGATGTATTATTTATTGTGTTGCGTTCATTGTCTTGCTAAGAGTACTTTAAATTCACCTTTGATATATGATCTACTTTGATTATTAAAAATTAATAAAATAAAAAAAATTTATATCTGAATTTAAAAATATGTATCAAACTTTTTAATGTTGAGTTATTAATGTTTTCATAATTAATTATCACTTGCTATATAAAAATAATAATCAAATTATATATTATCTACTTTCGGCATAGGTGAACCATTCAACATTATGAGTCCATTGCAAACAGAAAACAAATGGCCAACTCCGGATCTAATTTTGAGTATTTTAATAGAATTCTTGTGAGCAGTGACGGACCCAGAAAATATTCCAAGGTGTTCAAGAATATAACACAAATTGAATCTATATTATGCACAATGTCATCGTTTTCAACAAAAAAATTATGTGTGTTCCAATTTTAAACTTTTCGAAAAATATATTCATTATTTATGTTATGATTCGTAATGTAGTAAAAAATGTGATTCTATGTAGAAGTGTTTTGATGACCTAGAGTTTAGATTTTGACTATACTTGTAAGTGAAAAGCACGATTCTACAATCATTTTGGCGAACTAAAAATGTAAAAAAAGTAAGTTTTCAATTTTAAAGCATGATTTTGACTATATTGATAACTCATATGTCTATCAATGGATGCAGCCAATAAATGACTTATATATTAATATCTCATCCTATGAGAACACAGATAAATAGAGTTGGTAAGAGAGTTTTTCCAAAGAGGAATAAAAAGAATTAACGAAATGAACTAAATTAAAAAAAAATAGATTTATAAATTAATTCACGTTGTCAAAATAGAACTAGTAACAAATACATTAGTTTGTAGTTTAAAAGAAAGATTTCAGTTATAAATTTCAAGGGTTGTCGATGTTGATTTCAATAATAACATGACCACCAAAAAATATTTCCACTATTTTTTAGTCTCAAATCTAGAGCTAAGGTTTGTCAATTGAGTATCCTTAGCATAACATGGGTCCGCCCTTGCTTGTGAGTGAAAGGTGTCTGGGCGGGAAAAGTTGTTACTCGAGTTTCCGAAATCTTGGGTCCTGCGTGACCGTGGCGACATCTGCGTCTTCATCTCCTCCATTCGCCATCGATCCTTTTGATGGTTCTCAAGCACAAGCTTCGTTCTCAATTGGCGCCCCAGAGGGTGTACCGCTCAAACCCTAAGCCAAACTTTTTGGTATTTCTTAAGCCAATAAGCTCTGTTACATCAAGCAGAGGTTGTTAATGGCGGCCTTCGTAAGCCAAAAGAGGTCAGGGATGCGGGTGCGGCAAGGTGGAAGAACAATATTGTGGGCCAATTTCTTCAATCGGCTTCTCCATTGATGGTTCTCCGACGATCGGCGAACAGGATTTGGGAAAAGAATAGTCTAGTGCGGGTTTCGCTCATCTGTGACAGTATTCTTCTCTTCCAACTTTCCACTCAAGCAACTGGATTCTGGAAAATGGTCCCTGGTTCTATCAAGGTAGCCTTCTCTACCTTCGTCCATGGGTGCCGGGGATTACTGCTACTGATTTTGGGTGAAAAGCCCTCCCAATCTAGTTGCATCTTGTAACACCCCATCCTAAAATCATGGGTCGAACCGTTCGTTCAACCACGCAGCAGAAATCACTCGGAGTTTACATTTTCAAAATCTCGACTCAACTCACATGCACATCATTCTCATATGTTTAAAATTCAACTCATCATAACAATTTACTAAAAATCATATTCTGAATTCATTAATCCATCTTCATCAAATTCAGGATTCACCAAACCCAGACTATCAATCTCGTGTACTCCGTTCATGCTCAACTCAAGTTAATGATCATACTTGACTAACGTAAACTATCATGCATGCTCAAAACTCAAATCGTAAAAATAAGGATTTCGGAGTACATCAATATGTTAAAAACCTTTTAAACCAAAATCCTCCATTGATCATTGTGCAGTGCCAAAGTCATCCTCAATTTACCACACCCCTGTCACATCTAGAAAGAAAAATGGGTCAGCTACTAAGTTGAGTGAGTGGACTTGGCCTATGCGGCAAAACTATTGTTAGCATGCCATCACATCCTCACATCTTGTTGATTAAAAACACATCATCAACATATTATCATGCCACACAAAAATCTCATTAAACCCTAGATTTATTTCCAGCTCATCAATCCAAATTCATCTTAACCCAATTCTTCATGACATGATTTTCATTAATCAAGTCATATATTGACATAAAATCATAAACTTACCTCAACTTATGAATCCATCATATCAATCGTTCGTTCAAAGTCAAATCATCATTTAAGCATCAAGCATGTCAATCATTCGTCCATAATCAAATCACCATTTCGGCACAACCATATCAATCCCTCAATCAATCATCAATCGGATATCACTTTACGATTTCCTTCATGGAAATCATCACCATCATATATATCATAAGCAAAAAGCAATGCATGAAATGCAGACTCTTCATTTATTATTAATTTGCGCGCTAAGGTCACTATACGCCCACCCCGCTCGAGCTCATCATCTTAGTGGTTATAACGAAAACCACAATCTCATCAAATCTAGGATTATCATAAATCCTTTCATTAGGATCGCAGCCCAATCAATCTCATAGGGGTAGACATAGACCCTTCTATGTCTATGTGATTTAACATGATAAAACAATATCAATTTCTCTCTTCCATCATATCTCAATCGATCCAAGAAATCAACAGCGTCCCATTGACATTCCCAGTCCATGCATATCTCACATAATCTATGCATACTTTGATGCATTGCATGATCTCAATATAATCATCATCTTCTCAATGATATAAATAATTCATTCTCTTCAATCAAACTTGACAAATCTACCAAGTACTCAATTTATCAATACCTCATTCACTCATCGTAATCATTTAACACATCAAATACAAATCGATCATGATAATATCTCATCCACATCATCACTAATCAAAGCATTCATCATATCAACATTGTCACAAAATATCTCAGTAATAATTATATTTACCAATCACATTTATACCAATCGATATTCTAATCACGTCATACTCATACACGTCAATCGTATCACTATCACTCAATATCCTTGTCATCATCATCATCATGCCATAATCATACATATCAATAACCAATATATATTTTATTCGTGATTAAATCATTTTATCATACGAACCATATAATAACAATAAAAATACATCAAATTATCCATATCGTCCATTAACTAATTTCATCAACATATCAACTAAACATATTATGATCAAAATCTTGTTTTCATGAATTTATATTAATAACTTGAAACCATTCTAAAAAGGATCATACCCAATATATAATTCTCATGATTATCAAAAGTTCATTTGAAAAAGTCTCCCTTAATAACACATCTCTCAATAATTATTTCTTAAAGTACAAACTATATCATAGTTCGTCATGATTCATTAATAAGACTATTTTCAACATTTCAATTAAATACTCAATTAATCATTTCTCAAAATTAATCTTAAAACGTAAATCAAATTTAATCCAAGATAAAATTACTCATGGTAATCACTTTGAACTCACACTCTAGTTTAAATAATTTGCTCTTAATCACCACTATTCTGAAAATCATAATACGTTCTCTTTAATAACGAAAACACGTAGAAACCGGTTTCATCCATCAAAAAATCCAACAAAGTTTATAAATTCTTTATTTTAATTATTCTAACCAGAATTCACTTCTCATATACTCATCCAATTTATTAATTCCCAATTTCACCCTTTTAACGTCATAACTTCAATTAATTTCGAAAAGTCAATTATTACCAATATAATCATTGTCATGGTAATATATCATGACTAATGTCGTCTCAAGATTTCTTAAATTTCCTTTCCTTATTCTGATCTCAATAGACATTTTCAGAAAATATTCGGAGTTCACCATATACATCAACAATTCCAATACGAGATTAATAATAATAATTATCATAAAAATCAGTTAACTTCATAAACAATTTCATCCAAGATCACGATCATGAACCAATCACAAATCCATCATAATCATTAATCATCAACTCAATCATGCGTATTTAGAAATAAACACGTAATTCCGGTTCCCTTTTACCGTAAGCCCACACACCTTATTTATGACAAAATCCGATTCTGTGAAAGCTCTGGAAATTCCAGATCTTGTTGAAGTCGATGACGCCGGTGCCGCCGACGCAACTTTTCGACGAGCCTCGCATGAGCTTCTACGAACCTCCAATGGCGATTCTGACTTCATAGTTGGCTTCTGGACACCTCGATTACTCTAATCCAACCCACAGGAGCTTGGTTCCCTCTCTTTTATTTCATTCTCTCGTCTTTCCTCTCAAGGTTTTTCTTTCGTTCATGGCGGTGGTGAAATGGGAAGAAGAAAGAAAGCTTTCCATCTTTGTTTATCAAAGCCTCCAGAAAGACTCTCTCTCAATTATCACACGCCAACAGGAATTGGGTGGTAATTGAGAGAAGGTCTATATAAAAGAAAGCTTCATCTGAAGATATTTTTGCCCAGGTAGTTGAGCTGCAGAAAAAGTACAGTGAGCTTCACAAAGCAGAGGAGAGCTTCGATATAAAAAAATCTAGAATCTCTTGGCTCAATTTAGGAGACAAGAGCACTAACTTTTTTCATCGGGCAGTCAAAATGAGGAATGCATAGAAAGGCATCTGAAAATTGATAACTGAAGAAGGGACAGACTTGACATCCACTGATGAGATTGCAGTTGAGGTAGTAAGATATAAAAAGTCTTTATTTGGCTCAGTAAACAAAGAAGTTGTTCCTAATAGAGCAAGATTAGACGAGGTTATTCAACTGAAGTTGGAGAAGGATTAGAAGCTTAGCCTATGTGCAACAGTAACTGCAAACGACAATAGGAAGGCAATATTTGATATGGATTTCCACAAGGCTCCTGGCTCCGATGGGTTCTCAGCTGGTTTCTTCATGAAGGTCTGGCACATACTAAGGACTGATATGTCTGCTACTGTGTTTGATTTCTTCCAAAATTCCAGAATGCTGTCAGACATTAATGCTACTGCAGTCACTCTCATTCTTAAGG